CCTGCTGATATCAAGCAGACATCAATACACACAGAAGCTCAAAACAAACTAGTCGGATTTACAAGCATGAATGAGACTTGCCTGGAGAAACTGAGAAAATGATGTCCTTCCTTCTCAAAGCAGTACCAGCGTCAGACCGTTGATGGATGGATTTGTTATCATGCTTTACATGTGGGAGAGCACAGAGGGAGCACAGTGTACATCCCAAATAAAGGAGTCGCACATCCAACTCGGAAAGTGACACTTTATTCTTATGATAGAAGAGCTACAACCATTGTAACGCAAAACGTCAAACTTCAAGGGGTGCTCCATCCTTCATGGAGGAGAGGGGGAAGGAGGTCCCCAACAAGGTGAGCAGGTACCCACAGCCTGGTAGCAGGCAGCAGGCTGAAGCCAGCAGCAGTGAGCACAACCCAAGGAGCTCCCTCCCACCTCCTGCAGTCCTGAGATAAACAAGAGCCCAAGAGTCTCAGTGAGGAACAAAATCACCAGTGACATTTGAGCACAGCACACAACACAGAGGTGTCAACAGGTACAGGGTCTTCAATGGCCTTTTATGCTTGTGCCCGTTTGCTGAGTGATGGCAGACTCAGGTAACTGGGTATCTTGAAAATAATTTCCACCATGTTGAGTGATGATATGTTTGCAAGAGCAGGACAAAGAACCTGCTACTCACAAATGATCTTTCCCCAGGTCTCTATCCTCAGGGACCAAGCCCTTGGCTCCCATTTGGAGAGGACCATCACATGGGCAGGAAGTACCAGAGTCCTGCAAGGCTTGTTTCTCTGCTGAGGCTCACGTCTGGGGGATCCTTTTGGAAAAAGCTGTGAATGGTGTTGCTGTAGATCCTTCAACCAACAGTTGCCACCATATTCCCAGAGATATCCTGACATTGTCTGGGCAGTGATGGAACACATTTCCCCATTCAAAAGCAGGGATTGGATCTTGGTACAGGAGTCCCCCTGGGATGGAGCTAGATTTGCCCTCCCACAGGAGGGAAATGATGCTTTTCAAAGGAATTGGTCAGGGTTGGGAAACGGCACAAAAGAAGGGAGAAGAAGGATTTCCTTGCAAAACAGAAGTAACCCAACACCACAAATTAAGGACGGGAGGGGAGAATTTGTCTTCACTACCTCAAGTGTCTTGCCCAGGGGTGCTCCACGCCTGGCTGGTGGTGGGACATTAAGCAATGGTCTGGCGGCTGAAGAGGTCGAGGGTGAGGGCGCTGAGGAAGGCTGGGATGCTGTCCTGGCGGAGCAGGTGCAGCTCAATGAGCTCCCGGATCGTTCGTGAGAACTCGGTTTCCAGAAGCTGCATTTTTCCACCAGAGGAGCTAGAGGCCTGAGAGAAAAGAACAAGAAGCACATTAATACAGCAGGGTTTAAACACTTGTGACGCAGGGGAGAGTTCATGTGGTGGTCCTGAAGCCTCCTTTGATCTGCATCCACCTGTAACCAGGACATGTTGCCTGCTGCACTGCAGGTGTTTGGTACATGGTGCCACTGGGCTGTGATTGAGTTCTGCATTTCCAGTGTCCTGGCACAGGACCCCTCCGTGAGCCTCCCCTGGTGACAAATGGTGGGGTGGGGAGATGAGTAGTTCAACCATCCTGGGCAGAGGCCGTGCCAGGGCCAGACTGTGCCACCAGCAAAGAACTAGGGTTACCATCACCACCACCCAGGTCTTGTGTGGCAGCAGCTACACGCATAGAGCTTTCTCCCCATGAAAACACTTATTCCTCAAGTCATCCTGCTCCTGCAAGAGGAAGTAGACCTGTTCCTAATTAGCATGGCTCCTTTCCAAGGAGCTGCTGATCCGCCCCACATCCCTAAAGTGTTTCTGGATGTTTAAATCAGGCTGGCAGTGCACAGCTGAGAGCTCCAGAGGAATTATTCCAGAGATGCTCTCATGAAAATAAGGAAACTCAACATGTGGAAAGACATTACAAATCTCCTGTAACATATAAAACAAGCAAAAAAAAGCTAAATGCAAAAGAAATAAGGAATGCGTGAAGCCTCTCCTGAGCCCAGAGGCATGGAAGCTGCTTGTTCATTAATAAACAGCAAAGACATCACAGCAAAAATTCTAATTTTCCCCCCCCTGCCACTTTCTTCTCCAAAATGCTCCTGTTCCTAAGGGCTCTGCAGCTCTGCTTCCCCTTGGAGGTGAGGTGGGGCCAAGCTGGCATCCCCCCTGGGTGGGCAGGAGCAGAGCAGACCCCCCACCCCAACCAAAGGATACCAAGAACCAGAGCAAAAGATTGCCACGTGAAGGGGAAAAGTGGCTTTACCTGCTAGGAGAGAAGGGAAATGATAACTGCCAAAAGCCCTGGGGAACCTGCTTGTTTCTGATTTCATGTTCTCAAGAGTCTGGAAACATTTGACGATGAACTTTTCTTGTATGTGTCACTTTGGATTGCCAAGAGCACAAGGTACCCAAGATGCTCCTGTCACCGCTGAGCCAGGCAGGGAACCTAAACAAGGTTTCCATGTGGAAAAGTAAATTAGCTTTTGTTTAAAATCTCCTCCACTTTGGCTTATTTGTTTTTCAGCAGCTCCAAAGGATGTTCAGTGCTTTAATCTGCTTCTCACTGGAGCTGCCCACCCTGCTCTCTGCACATCTGATGTACCAGGGGGTCGGATTCATGAGGCTAAGGAGAAGGAGGGCAGGGATGGCAGATGAAGAAGCCAGTGGGAGGCCCAGGGAGGGACATACACCCCCAACCTGTGTACAGCCGGAGGCACAATGTGAGGCTGTAGCATAGTCGGTCCTAGCAGAGGGGCTGGGTGCTGTGAGAGCAGCACAGGTTTTGTTTTGCAAACCCTCCCCCCCTTGGATTTAGCTGATGGGAAGCACCAGTTTCAGAGGAAGGTCCAAGTATTAGGAATGCATCACTTGTGTCTTCCAAGGCTGTGCTGAATTGGATCCATCTAAAATTCAAGCTGTCTGAAATACACACTCCCTCCTTCACAGATTGAAAACACTCTTTGGGCACAGAATTAATTTTCTGAGAATTTACATGTAAATCCATTAATTGGTTTACTAGTTTAATTAATCAAAGCAAGTTCCTTAAGAAATTTAGCACCTGGTGCCAGATTATCTGCTTGTGTTTCATGATCTCGGAAACGGAGTAACATAAATGTTTTCAGTTTCCTCTTTGAGCTCACTGGTGTCTCGGGTGAAGGCCACATTTGAAACATTTCTTTTTGATGCAATTAATGGCATTTTCTCTCTGCTATTCTTCATAACCAAAGTTCCCTCCTTCAGCAGAACCAGAAGAATGTTCAGAGAAAAGTTACGTGAACAAAACCATGTTCCTGGGAGGAGTCACTTCCAGTTGAGCTCAACAGGTCAGTGATTTCTCTCAGTTGTCAGATGGTCAAGGAGGCACAATCCTTCTCTCTGTGGCCTCCATCTCCCTAGGAACTCAAAAAAATAATAATAAAAAAGCTTCCTAATGCCAGAAATCTCACCCAGGTTTCTTGTTGTTTGTTTTTTTTCTATAACAGGAACACTGGGAGAAGGCAGCCACTTGGAAAAAAGGCAATTCTTCCTCTGCCAGGAGATGTTTACATGCTAACTTTGAGGATGGATGCACTTGCAGCTCAGTTCATTCAATCTCACACTGCTTTTTTTAAAAAAATATACACGTTTTCTTTTTTTTTAACATGGAAACGTTTTAAAATTGCTGTCATTGTTACCTTTCTTATTATTTGTTTTTATTGCTTTTTTTTTTTCTTCACCCATCTGTTCATAAGTGTAGTATAGACTGGGACAAACAGATAGATTTGTTGCTTTCAGTTCAAAGGCAGGAGTACCTTTGCAGCCTGTGCTTTACAAATAAAGTGATTGTATGAAATAATAGCAATATATTCTCATTAATTCACAGGATTTCTTTCCAAATACCCATCTACACCCTGCCTGGTGCACCCAGTGAGCTGCAGGCAGAGAGAGGAGCACTGAGGCAGGAGGTGTGGGAGTGAGCAGGGGATCCTGGCAAGGCAGGGGGACTTGCAGGGTGTGTGGGAGCAAGGAGGGGGAGGACACCAGAGGGGATGCTCTGCTGAAGGAACATTGCAGGCTCTGGTTGTTTCACACTGGTTTGCATCAAGGCAGAGCATTCCCTGTGACTCCAGCTCAAAAAAACAGATTTATGAAAGGTACAAAGCTGAAATTTCCATAGGTTCAAAGCTGTAAGGGCACTCGAGTCCTCTTCACAACTCACAGCTAGAACTCTCTCCACCCCGTTTTTTTTAGTTAAAGAAAGTCTCAACTCACAAAAAAACCCCTCCTGGACACAACCTCTGCTAAGAAGAATTTGCAGCTGACAACACATACCAACTATTCACATGACAAATTATAAGTAAAGCAATCACCATTCTCAGTTTAGCTGAAGCCAGAAGCCACTCAAGCCCATCTAGGAAGAAAATGTGAAACTAAGGAACCTAAACAAGTGTCAGTGATGACAGTCCATGAGTGGGAATGGGGCGAGAGAGACCAGAGCATATTCAAACCTAGCCCTAACTGCTCTGCACCCAGCACTACTGACACATCTTACTCAAGAACTACATCACTATTGTGTGTTGTTGCTTTTAAACACAAGTGTGAAAGGAAAAGCATCAGGATTTAGAGTCAAACTGAATACACAGGATCAAAGAAAAAAACGGAGACTGTGAGTACTCCATCCATTCTGCAGTCAATGCATAGAGGAGTCAATGCAAGAGGAGACTTTGGGGACCACCAGCACACTTTACTCCCCCTTTCCCAACCACACTGACCCAGCCACGTGCAGCACTTCACTAGAGATGCAAATATTCCCCCTGCACCCCCATATTCCCCAAGCACAGAGCAGCTCAGGATGCTGAAGCTAAGTACTGTGAGAATCTCATCTCACAGGTACCCTTTACACAGATTTCTGTTGGTTTCTTCTAATTCTGAAATCTGCCTGCCTCACTAAACTACTGAAATTCAGGTCTATGTTATGTTTTATTCAGATCTCAAATACTTGCAGAAGGAAAATTTTCAACTTTTGCTAACCTCCATTGCCAGTTCAGTCTGATTTAAGGCCTGGCAGGACCTTTTCTAGACAAGCAATGGACATCAATCTTGGCCCCACATTATGTCACACTGGATTCTGCTGGTGGGGGGATGCAACTCCTGCCATAGATCTGAAGGGTGACACCCCAGTTTTCTCCTCACAGGTTGTGCTACCTCATAGAGCAATCAGATCAGTGGGCAGATTTCACTGAGTTGTAAAACACAGAGCAGACAGGTCTATTTACCACATGGTGACATAAACTTGCAGTAGCTGCTCCTGGATCTGCTTGGAGAAAGGAACTGTGAGTACAATTGTTTTTCCAGGAGAAACAAGATCAGCTGCTGCCTGCCAGAAGGAAACATCATAAATCTTACTCTTAAGCCTGGAAATTGGTAAATTATTCAAGAGCTTATAGTTTAGATATACATATAAAAGACTCTCAACCACTAGTGTGTGCAGGAAAGGGAGTTCTCTCCAACAGGGACCATCTCAGCAAGGAGCAGACAATGCAGAAGATATGTAGGACAAACAGGCACTCCTAAATGTACCTGCTGGGGTACTTTTCAGGGCTAAGATGTATTAGGGGTGAAAAAAGGCAAGTGAATCATTGCCCACTGACATTTACCCAGCGGATGTATGGTGGAGGCTCCATCTCATCTGCTATGCTCCTTCCATAAATCACTGTCTATGCTACACCCCTACATACAACTGCTCTGAATACACATGGCAAACAGCCCCGTGTGTGCTGAGGGAAAGGGCACCACGGCTTCACAACCCAGACTTCATGCAGAGCTTCTCCATGCTCCATCCACAGGCCTCTGGTGTCATGGACCATGCCACTTCCCTCGTCCTTGTGGTGTTCCCACCCTGAAGCCCTGCTCTGAGATGGGCTTCGCACCAGACTGATCCCTTTGGCAACTTGCCTTCATCATTCAAATCCCTCAGACCTTCCCCTTCATGCAGGACAGTCAGTCCCTCTTCCCCAATGTCTTCCCCCACCAGTAGAAGTCCTCAGGGTCAGCCATGATGCCTGATCACCTCCCAAAACCTCTGCAGTGCTCTGTGTACCTCAGAGCCTCTGCCACCAAGCACCCTGGCCACACTGGTGGTCCTGATGGCCTCCCTTTGACACCTTCCTTGTGGTGCCCACTGCCCACCTTGGCACCCATTAATACACACAAAACCTATCACAGCCCAACAAACCTATCTGAAAGTACCTTTCAAGAAGCTGCCTGCTTTGACCTTTAGACAAGAAAATCCTGTTGTTTCTGCCTGTTGCTTTGGATGTTGAGATTTTTCTAAA